AATCCATTGTCAGTATTCCTTTGGATAGAATTGGGGTCTGCTGTTCATTTTTCCAGTAGTATGTTGGGTTACTGTCTGGAAGTGGCTCTTTCTTTTTTTTAAAAAAATTTTTTATTCTACTTAGATGCTTTATCTGTCCTTGTGTGTGTATGTGTATATGGACACACATGTGTGGAGGTCAGAGGACAACTTGCAGGAATTGGCTCTCCCACCAGGAGGGTCGTAGAGATTAAACTCAAGGTAGTCAGGATTGGTGGCAAGCACCTTTATCTACTGAATCATCTTATTGGCCCTAAGACTTCTGAAACTTTACTAAGGTGATAAAGTGACAGTACAGAACACTTAAGAAAACCACAGCAATGAGAACGTGAAGATAGGACTTGCGAAATGAACAAAATGGAAGAAAGAACAACAGGCGCTAAGCTGAGTAGAATTACAACAGGAAGACAGGTAAACCTCCTTGCTCAGAAATAAGAATACAATGGGAAGACGGGGTGAACCCTAACATCTGGAAGTACAAATACAACAGCAAGACAGGGTGAGCCCTGACACCCAGAAATATGAGTGCAATGGGAGGACAAGGTGAACCTTAACACTCAGAAATACAAGTGCAAAGGAAGATGAAGTGAAACCTGACACCCAGAAAGTCCAACAAGAAGACACTCTATTTTCTGAAGGATGGAAAACAAGGGCTCAAAATGATTGGTTAAATACTTTCAGAAACACTCTTGTATTTCTCTCAGACTCAATGGAAAATGCCTAATAATCTCTTCAGTGTGAGATTATATCAGATTTACTTATTTAAAAATTATTTATTTTTATTTTATGTGTATGAGTGTATTGCCTGAATGTATGTAAGTGCATCCATGTCATGCAAAGCCCATTGGCAACAGAATGGGGGGGGGGGCAGATTCCCCTGTAATGGTTAACAGGAGGTTGTGAACTGCCATGTACAGGTGCTGGGAATCAAACCTGGGTTCCCTGGAAGAGCAGTCAGTGCTCTTACTGCTGAGGATCACTCCAATTCCCAGATTTACTTTCTTGAGATACTGGCTCTTACAAAAATTAATTCAAAGTACATGGTGGCACTGTACCAAAATCAGAGGGATTAAGCACAAGTTTATATTTACATTATGAAGGACCAGAACGCTACTGGTAACCATGTCTTCAATACCTCAGCAAGAGATCTGAGAAAATCCCGAGAAAAGTTCTACAGTCACCAACATGCTGAACTGTCTTTCTAATAACCCTGAAGTGATGGAGCACTAGTTGAAAAATTCTATACCCTGTAAGGAAGAAAGCCCTTCCTGCAGTGCACTCAGTGCTCAGCTCTAGACCAGAAAGAACAGCAGTTCAGCTCAGTATCATCCTCTGAGAAATGAGATGCTAACTCCATAAAACATGAATAGTTGTAAAAATACACAAAGAGAAAAAAATTGAACAAGAGATCCACTGCAATAAACAAAGAAGAAATTGAAAAAGACAAAGTTTTCCTCAACAGAAAGAAAGCTACAATCTTATCGACTGACAACCAAAATAAGTAAGGAAAAAAGAAATCCATAAATCAAAGCAAATAAGACTTCAGAATATAGGGACCTTTAGTACAAAGAGGAAGAAAGGGCCCCCCAATATATAATACAAATTAAAAATTACAATGATACCTCCTCCCCCAAATCAAGTCACATCAAAACACCCAGGAATTGACATAGGCCCTTACAAGAGCAATACTGGAGACAATTTTTAAATTTTCTAAGAATGATTTCACCCTACAGTTCTATTCCTCCAAAACTTGAGAAAACACAAAGATGTCAAGAGGCCAGAAGGGAACACTATCTCCCCATAATTTGTTCAGCAAAGAGCAATGGGCACACAACCAGAAGGATTACAGCCTGACAGCACACAGCAATGAAACACAAGCAGAACCCCACTGTGCACAAATACTCTGAGCCACCTACTTCCATTTCTAGAAAGGTAGTTTTAAACAGCGCTTAGAAATATGTAAAGTTGGTTTAATGTACCTATGTGTGAAGTCTTTTGAAATTACACTTAGAAAATAATAAGATTGGTAAAAGAATGTTCATTTATGTATAAGTTCAGACAGATTAAAATAAAAAAAGATCCCTGCTTTAAGAACCTATCTTTAGGATTAATCTGCTAACAATACGTGATTTTAGATAAAACCGTGCTCCCCCCATATATGCACATATAAAAAAAAGTATGTGCACGCATGACGCACGCACACACATACCCACACACTCATCCTCGCACCTCTTTTTTTGGCCAGAAATTCCTAACCAGAAGTGGACTTCTTGCAATCTTGCTAGTTATAAGTAAATAAACAAATCTTGCTAATTAAAAAAAAAAAAAAAAAAAAAACATCTTTGGGGCTGCAGAGATGGCTCAGCAGTTAGGAGCATTTGCTGCTCTTGCAGAGGATGTGGGTGTAGTTTCCAGCAACCAAAGCGACCCAACACCCTCTTTGGGTCTCCAGGAGCATGCACACATGGTACACATACAGGCAGGCAAAACACATTAAAACAAAAAAACCCCAGCTCAGATGCTGTATCAGCCGGGGTAGCTGCCATTCGCGTGGTGTGTGAGTGAGCCCAGGCCGGGTCACCTCTCCCGCCGCCACCATGGGCTGCACGTTGAGCGCCGAGGACAAGGCGGCGGTGGAGCGGAGCAAGATGATCGACCGCAATTTGCGGGTGGACGGGGAGAAAGCGGCCAAAGAAGTGAAGCTGCTGTTGCTCGGTGCTGGAGAATCTGGTAAAAGTACCATCGTGAAGCAGATGAAAATCATTCATGAGGATGGCTATTCAGAGGAAGAATGTAAACAGTATAAAGTAGTTGTCTACAGCAACACTATACAGTCCATCATTGCAATCATAAGAGCTATGGGACGGTTAAAGATTGATTTTGGGGAAGCTGCCAGGGCAGATGATGCCCGACAATTATTTGTTTTAGCTGGCGTGCTGAAGAAGGAGTCATGACTTCAGAACTAGCAGGAGTGATTAAACGGTTGTGGCGAGATGCTGGGGTGCAAGCATGCTTTAGCAGATCCAGGGAATATAATTGCTCAATGACTCTGCTTCATATTACCTAAATGATTTGGATAGAATATCCCAAACCAACTACATTCCAACTCAGCAAGATGTTCTTCGGACAAGAGTGAAGACCACAGGCATTGTGGAAACGCATTTCACCTTCAAAGAGCTGTACTTCAAAATGTTTGATGTAGGTGGCCAAAGATCAGAACGAAAAAAATGGATTCACTGTTTTGAGGGAGTAACAGCAATTATCTTCTGTGTGGCCCTCAGTGATTATGACCTTGTCCTGGCTGAGGACGAGGAGATGAACCGAATGCATGAAAGTATGAAACTGTTTGACAGCATTTGTAACAACAAATGGTTTACAGATACTTCAATTATTCTCTTCCTTAACAAGAAAGACCTTTTTGAGGAAAAAATAAAGAGGAGTCCATTAACAATCTGTTATCCAGAATACACAGGTTCCAATACATATGAAGAGGCAGCTGCTTACATTCAGTGCCAGTTTGAAGATCTGAATAGAAGAAAAGATACCAAGGAGATCTATACTCACTTCACCTGTGCCACAGACACCAAAAATGTGCAGTTTGTATTTGATGCTGTTACAGATGTCATCATTAAAAACAACTTAAAGGAATGTGGGCTTTATTGAAGAAGGTGGCATTAGTAAAAGTTACTACAAGTGGAGTGTTGAGACCAGAAATCTTCTGCTGTCTCTTGCGGCAGCTACAAGCATGACAGGACCAGGGAATGGCAGCAGCATGCAGAATCTTAGCACTCTTTAGCACAATCTTCTGTATTAGGGAATATTTAATTGACATGAGATGTTCAAGTCAGACATTGGAGTTGCAACAACTGTAAAGTATGAATTGATCATCAAGAAATCACTGGATTTTTTAAATCTCAAATATTTAGGGCATATCTGACGTTGAGGTGCTGCATTCCAGAACTTAAATATGTAGCTGACTTTTTTCTCCTTTTTAACAAACCACCGGATTTTGATATATCACAGTGAAAGATTTATCGTCCTCTTTTTAGGCAAAGGGGGCCCCCAGAACAAAAAAAAAAAAAAAAAAAAAAAAAAACTTTGAATGGAAAAAAAAAAAACAAAAAACAAAAAAAACCCCAGCTGGCCTGGAACTCGCTATGTAGACCAGGCTGGCCTTGAACTCACAAAGATCCCTCTGCCTCTGCCTCCCAAGTGCTGGAATTAAAGGCGTGCACCACCACGCATGGCTTAAAATAACCAGCTCATTTGATATTTATCCCTTAGAAAAGAGAAAAAAGTTCTATTTTTAAAAGATAAAGTTGAATTCTTTTAAAAAATATTGATGTCAATAATTTTTATTTTTATTTTATGTGTGTAAATGTTATGCCTGTGTGTTAAGTGTACACGTTATTCAATGCCTGCAGAGGTCAGAAGAGGGCACTGGATCCCCTGGAACTGGATTTACATATAAATGTTAGCTGCTATGTGGGTGCTGAAAATTGAACCCAGGTCCTCTGCAAGAGCAGCCAGTGCTCTTAACCATTGAGCATCTCTCCAGCCCCGATGTCATTTTTATTTTATGTGTATGTGTGTGTGGGTCTTTTGTGAGTGAATGCCATGTGTGTATGGGTGTCCATGGAGGCCAGAAGAGAGTACCAAATCCCTTGGAGCCGCCCAAGATGGGTGCTGGGAACCAAACTCAGGTTCTCTAGAAAAACAGTAAATACTCGTAACCTCAGAGTCATCTCTCTAGCCCTTTACTTTAGTTCTTAATGAGCAATGATTTGTGTAAATATGAAGGGAAACTATACTAAAGGAAAATCTGTGCGGTGTATTACATACTGCCAGAAGGAAGCTGTAGGAACATAAGCTAAAATGTTTCTAAGAAACATAGTCCAAGGGAAAACTTACCAATGAGCACAATTAACTGAAGTTTCAAGAAGATTCAAAGGTTGCTGAAGGGGACATTTGTCACTCATATTTACCTTCTCCGAGGAGACCTGCTTCTTCTTCTTGGAGACCTGCTACGTCTCAGTGGGGAACGGGATCTCCTCCTAATAGGAGACCTACTTCTTCTTCGGGTTGGAGACCACCTATTGATGGGGCTGGCATCTTTTGACCTTTCACGTCTACCGAGGATATCATCTCGAGGTCGTGTTCTTAAGGAGAACAAATTCAAGTTAAGAGAAAAATAGACCAAACTAAATGAATCTGTTAAACATGTAAAGGGCATATTAAGATCCACAAACCCAATGAGAATAATCCTGATTATTTTGCATGAAAATTTGAATTCAGATGACCCCACTGAATGGCATTACAGTGTTATAGGAAACATACAGTAGAAGTCTATTTCACATGGCCTCAGAATTTGAGAATCTAAAAGCTATTCATGTTAAAGAGACAGATTCTAATTTTGGATTAACAACTCAAATGAAACTTGTAATGATACTCTAATTCTTCACTTTAAGTTTCTATATACTGATATTTCTGCAGTTAAGAATCTTATTTTTAAACTGTATTTGCTTGTTTTTTTAGGGGGAGGGGGGTTACCATGGCACACGTGTGGAGGTCAGAGAATAACTTGTACAAGTAAATTGTCCCCTTCCACCATGTGGGTACCAGGAATCAAACTCAGGTTTTCAGGACTGGTGGCTGAGCCATCTTTCCAGGCCTAAGCATCTTATTTTTATTTGTTTTAAGTTTTTTATTAGTTCTTTGAACATGTCATCTAATATATTCTAACCATACTCACCCCACTCCCTGAAGTTCTCACATGTTCCAATATAAAAGTATCTTACAATGTGTCAACCTCAGAAAAGAAGAAATACCTCAGCTTTTCCATTCAAAGTTAACTTTGCAATAGCTACCTTACAAGTACCTCTGAATGAGTCTTTTACTCTTGAACAAGGTATCTGTATTATACCACAGCCTTTCCACAACTTCTATACTAAAGACAACTGGTAAATCGGTTTGTCTCCACAATAAAAACAGTAACATAACAAAAGTTTCTCTATTTGATAAAAGTACAACCTGCCCTACATGTTTATACATGGCACACACAACCACAAGAATTCTTCTCTGATACAGTCAAAATAAAACAGGGTAGATTTGGCTGAGCTCTATAGTATTTTTGATAGGTCAATCTGAAAAAAAAATTTTTTTTTCATATGTAATCTACTTACACTAACATAACATTTTCCAAGACTGGCTAAAAATTGTAAAGAAATGGGATAAAGCAAGAGTGCAGAAGGAATGGAGTGTTAGTTACTTAAATGTCATTAAAATAAAAATATTCAATCCCTGTAAGTAATTTAAATTAAAACAGTTGCTTTTATTAATAAAAGTGACAACATAGTATTATCTGGTATCCTGGATAGTGAAGGGGGAAAAAGTTGCACATATAACAGGGATGGATAGAGCCACCTAAATTTCTGAAGTGTGTCTGGCATTAGCTTTCTAAGGAGTCTTTCAGGAGTCTTTGCAAGTCCATTTCTGTAACTATTCTACAAAGAAACCTCAAATACAACCAACTGACTTTTTTTTTATACCATTGTGAAAAATAAACCCATCTAATTTTCATCAGCTTCAGCACAATATAGAGCATCTGCACTATAAAACAGCTCACTGCTGTCATAAAATGTAAAAATAAATCTACATATAATCACTGAAACATTTTGCCAAAAAAGTTATGTTTGTACTTTAAGATAAATATTAAGACTACATTTATAAGAAAATGCTTATATTCATGTAACTGTATGTGCACAGAAATCTTCCTTCCTGGAAGGCTGTAAAGGGACTGAGAAGCAAAGAACTTCAAGGCTTCAGCATTATTTTGCTTTCTCTTTAGTTAGTAAGCACCTCTCCACGGCAGGGAAAAAAAAAAAAAAAAGTTACTTCAAAGACTTAGGTTTGGTGATTTTATTACAAATAAAAGAGTAAAGAATTTAAGATAGCACTTTGAAAACACTGGAAATTTCTCAAAATGTTATGATTAACTTCAAAACCAAAGCTACAGACTGAAAATATTAATAAGAGAAATTAAAATTAGCTAAGAATTCACACAATCTTTACAAGCTAGCATCTTTTAGTAAGCCAAACGTGGCAGATAATTTCAAAACGCACCATTACTAAATAAATATATAGAAGCCAGTTTCTTAAGAGCCTCTATTTTCCCAAATTTGGTTTTGTGATTCTAGGTAAATCATTTGATCGTTCACTATAAGAAATAGGGCCAGGCATGGTGGTCCATACCTGCTAATCCAGCAATTAAGAGGATGAATTTAAAAAAAACCAAGAAAGAGATCCAGGCCACCCATAGCTACATAATGAGACTTTGCCTCGACCCCCTCCCCATCAAAAAAAGGTTTACGGAGGCCCCCACCACAACTGAGCTAAAATAATCCCAAGCAGATTTAGTGAATCTGCTTGAATTTAAACGTTTGACTTAGCAAATTAGGACTAAATTAAGTCAAGAATCTTTAAGAAAAAGACTGTCAAGCTCACTTTTTGTAAAACAGCCACATAAAAATTTAAGTGTTTATATAATTAATGTACCGGATTATATTTAACATTACAAAACTCATTTTAAATCACCCACACATTTTGTATTTCTAATATAGAGTACTGGTTTAAGCACGAATATTCTGTGAGCAGTTACCTTGGAGAAGAGAGTCGCCTCCTCTCTGGTTCTCTTCGCTTTCTTTCTATGGATCGGCTCTTAGCCCTTCTACCTGGAGACAGAGTTCGAGAGGGTGATTTGCTCTGTTTGGAGCGCCTGTCATTTACAAGTGGAGATCTACTTCTTCTGGACTTATCCCGTTGCTTTGGAGACAAACTTCTTCTTTTAGGACTCCGGCCTGGTCTTCTACTAGGTGACCTATTTTCCTTTCCAGAAGAAGCATCTTTCGAGGGAGATTTAATTGGCTTCTTTTCTTTGTCAATTTCAGACCTTTTTGATTTTCGCTCTTTGGACCTTGACCTTCTGTCTTTGGATTTATCTCTTAAGTCAACTGGGGATCTGGATTTTTTACGATCTCGACTTCTTTCATTTATAATCGGTGATTTTTTCCTATCTTTTACCTTGCCTTTATCTTCGGTTTTCATCTTCTCATCAGGAGAGCGGGCTTTTCCAATTTTCTCTTGAGATCTCCGCCTAAGGGTAGGGGACTTTGATTTTCTTGCTTGATCTTGAGACTTACTTCTTTTGGACGGACTTTTGGACTTCTTCCTCTCCTTTGACTTGCTTCTGTTTGTCTTCTCTTTTGCCATCTCAATGCCTCCCTTGCTTTTCTTTTTATCTGACCTATGTCTAGTCCGTTCTTTGGATCTGCTTTTACTTCGTTTTTTTGTGCTGTTTTTATTGTCCATAAGTTCAAGTTTCCCCTTTGTACTTGAAGATCTAGTACTAGACCTATTTCCATTTCTTGCCTTTTCATGAATCTCTCCTTCTTCTTCAGAGCCAGACTCATAACCCTGCAAAATGAGCCCCATCCCAGACTGGACCTTTCCTTCCATTAACTCATTATCCAGTTCAGCTTTAATCAAGGCTCTCTGTTTTTCCAAGTCTTCTAGCAAAGCTAAATCATCAAGTTTAGTTCTTTTTGTGGGAGACATACCTTCTCTGTCAGAAGCATCAATAATTTCTTTTCTTTTGTGTTTCTTATGTTTATGCTTATGCTTATGTTTTTTATCTTTGTCTTCTTCTGAGGAATGCTTATGTTTCTTATGTTTACTTCTGTGTTTATGCTTCTTTTTTTTGTGTCGACTGTGTTTATTTTGAGACTGGTCTTCTGATACTTCTCCATTTTCTTCATTCACACTCTTTTCAGAATTATCAGCATCTTCCATCCTGTAAGTGTATGAAACATATTTTTTTTTACATTCACAGTACTTATTCAGTATTTAGACATAACAAAGTAATAATAATAAAATACATCTCAGTGTAACACATTATAAGTTAGCCACTAAAATTTTTTAACAGAAGGTACTGTGAGAATGGAGGTGGTGGTGACAGAACAATCTGTTTTTAATGGTTGAGGTCACAAACCACAAGTATTCAAAGAAATATTCAACAGGGTATGGTTTTTTTAGGGCCAAGCATGGAGGTACACGCCTTTAATTCCAGCACTTGGGAGGAGGCGAATCTCTGAGTTCAAGGTCAGCCTGGTCTACACAGGGAGTTCCAGGCCAGTTCTATAGAGCTACAGGGAGACCCTGTCTGAAAAAAACACACACACCCCGGGGGGTGGGGGTTGGAACCAAACCAATCACAGTAAAATCTATTTTTAGCTACATGGTAACCCCAGTAACTTAGTTTTGAAATACAGTGTTTCTCACAAATACTTAACACGGGAGGCTACTTTCTTTTTCTTTTTCCATGAAGCATATCCATACTGAAATACAATGGGAAAATAATCTTTTTGGTATGTCTGCCACAAATCTACTTGGTTGTTTCAAGTATCTCACCTAATCACCCCTCCTTGAAAAACAAAAAACAAAAAAAACTCAAGAGCTAATATTGACTAGATCCAAAATAAGCAATCGGTGTGCATTGGTGGCTTCCTGTGTGCACTGGTAGCTTCCGGAAACAACGTTGACAGTGCAAACAAACCCCCAAAGGGCTAAGACTTCAGAAAACAAGGCAGGAGTGTAGTTTTTTGGTCTGTAGCTGCCTGGCTGCAGGAAGCAACCTCAGGGAAGGACACATCGTAAGTCAACAGTGGTCTAATTCCAGAAACCATATGTTTGATCCAACACTGATTCACCAAATTACTGAATCTCTAAATTTCAAACAAAAAACTCTTTTTCCAAATTATGCTCTTACTAACAGGTGCTATACAAAAAAAGAAATTAAGGGAACTAAGTATAAATGCTTGGGTTATACTGAGTTAAAGAGTTTTATGATTTACTATTTATCAGTGCTGAAGTGTTCAGTAATTCCAGGCTAAATACAGGTTCAATAGCATTACAGCTGCTCTTTGACTTGTTATCTCCAATAACCCCATAGTAAATTCAAAACATTCTAAGTAAAAAAAGTATTTAATATGCCTATCTTTCCAAACATCATAGCTTAGAAACCCAAGAGGCATTTAACTTTTCCCTTTAAAGTCACTTTACCATATTTTTTTAAAGATTTTTTTTATTTTATGTGTATGAGTGTTTGCCTGGATGTATGTCTGTGCCAAGGAGGCCAAAAGAGAGTATCAGAGATCCCCTGGAACTGGAGTGTTTGCCTGGATGTATGTCTGTGCCAAGGAGGCCAAAAGAGAGTATTAGAGATCCCCTGGAACTGGAGTTACAGACAGCTGTGAACTGCCATGTGGTTACTAAGAATCAAACCCAGGTCCTCGGAAGGAACAGCAAGTACTCTTAACCACTGACCCATCTCTCTAGCCCCAACCATTACATTTTATAAGATGGGACCAAAACCAAACTTAGTCCAGGTCCAGTTGATTATGCTATTTTGGAAGAAGATAAAGATTAGTTTGTCTGTCTTCAAATATACATCCCATAGTTTTTAGTAAGTTTATTACTTGCTCTTTACGAGGGAAGAATTCATGAGGCTATTCCCCAGTCTCTGAACATTTTTTAAATTTCTTACCAAATGAATATATTTAGCAAAGTGACAGGAAAATTTTAAAAAGTCTGATTTGTTTCCCAAGGAAACTAAGAGTCCAATGGGAAAGAACATCATTCAACACAACCATAAAACAATGAAGTACCAACAATGAAGGGTACTGGAACACTGAAGGATCACCTGAACCCATTATGAGAATGGTCAGGGAGGGAGTTTTATAGACAACATGGGGGGAAAAACTTCAAACAATCTGTTAAGCAGGCTCTTTGGTGAACAGATGTTTACTGAGATGGAATGTGGAAAACTGAAGGCTGCTTGCTGTGCATGGTGGCTCAAGTCTTTAATCCTAGCACTCAGGAAGCAGAGGCAGGCAGATCTCTGTTCCACATAGTGAGTTCCAGGTCAACCGGTTACACAGCAAGATCCTGTCTCTCATCCATTCATCCATCCATCCATCCATCCATCCATCCATCCATCCATCCATGTATGCTGAGTAACACAGTCCTAGAGAATGAGCAAATTTAAAGGAAAGGGACATTTCAAATATGGAAAACAAAGCAGGTGGCAAAAGATAATCATGTACAGAAAATCATAGCCAGATCACTGGTCCATATTATCAAACTTGTAAAAGACTCTAGTCTAACAGAGGTTATGGTCTCAAGTGGACTAATTCCAAATGATAAGACATGAGATTTTAAGAGTGAGTGGTAGAGACAAAGAGTCCCAGAGGCCTAGGAACTACAAGGTTAGAATGTTGATGGGGTGTTTATAAAAGCACCATGATTTCTGGCGATTGTAGCAGGAGTTGGGGTACAATCTTATCTTCCAGCCAGGTCTCAATTTTCAATAACTTGGTCATGGAGAGGAGAGGAAATACAGAGCCACTACGTCACCACACAAAAACAACTCTGAAATTTGGCACTTTCCATTTCTGGGACTGTGAAGTATAGGAAAGGAAAAAGCACTGAATAGATGTGTAGAGGAACTATCTCTAGGGTGAGAGGCAGGGTTTGGTGCCAACCTACTTCTTCCTAGTAGGCTCTGAGACAATATAGGACAAGTATAGTAATGTTCTCTCCAAACCACATTTTTTTCCTCAAAGACTTGAAAAAGAAAGAACATTATCTCTGTATATTAAAAACTGTTGTTGTTGTTGTTGCAGAGAGGGGGGGAAAAACCCCATATAGATTTAAATAGAATATCCAAAGGTAACTTTGTTCTTGACACAGACTATACTGGTAACCCCCTCCTTCCCTAGAGCTCTCTCATCTTATAATCCGGGAGATGGAGAATGTCTGCCTCTTGAATTCCGACTCAATAGAGGGGAATAATTCAAGAAAAATCACACTGATCTTTTAAAAGAGTATTACTTTTAGGTATAAAAATCAAAGTAACCAGAGCATAAAATTCTAGTCATAAAACTCTAATACTATCCCAAACTGTCCTCAAAATAAAGTACCAGAATGCTTAGGCAGAGCTAGACTGTCAGAAATAAAATCTTGGTTCTACTACTGCACCAGTTGTGAGCCTTTGCTCACAACTTTGATCTTCAGCTATTTCTTCTAGAAGATGGAGAAAACAAGAATACGAACCTGAAAGGTTAAGTTTCTAACAGTGCTTAGTATGAACTAACTGCCTGCAAAGCAACCTGTCATTATTACAGACAGAGGTATCTATTCACAAAACCACTGTGGATCTGAAAAGGAGGTTACTAACAATGTGATTTAAAGGAATTCTATCAAAAAAGGATGAATTCAGGAGTCAAAACTGCTTCAAAACACTGCCCCAAACAGGGCTGAGCACCCTGTTCCTCTATGTGCTGCTCAGCTGTAAAGACTGGGAGAATCGGTAGCAAAGGAAGCTCCTACGTTTGTTGTGGCAATTAGACAGGTTTACATAAAAAGTGGCCATAGCAATTACTCGAGAAATGTCTTCTACAAGACAAGTTCAAGACCAAGGTTCAAGGATGTTTAAGAGACCTGTTTACAGTCACACCTATGCCCAGCCAGTGAGAAGGCGATTACATTCCAAGTTTCTACATTTGATCAAATATGCTTTGTAAAATGTTAGATTAAAAAATAAAAATGCTGTATTATGTCACTATTCTTCCTGAAGCTCATTTATTTCACTGCTTCCTACCTAAGGCTTTTAAAGACCTTTATTAGGCCCTCAACTATTTCCAGTGCCTTCACTGGGCTAAGGCCTTAGCTGGTACCTACAATTTCTCCTGGCAATAGTCTCCCAGATGCAGTCACTGCTTGCTCCTTTGTCTTCCTCAGTAACTCAAATCTTTCTTTCTCAGTCAAGTTTTCCTGACCTCATTTTAGTTGCAAATTTGACCCCAGTAATTGGCAGGTATTCAATAAATGTTTGTTGAGCCAAAGAAATGGTGCATGACAAGTAACATAAAAGTAGTATTCAACAGATTAAAGCTAGTTTTTATTACCTAGACTTAGCTTCTCAAAAGTGAAGTTTCTGGTTGGTTAGAACCTAGTGCCTCAGAGCGTTTCTATGTGTATGCATAGTACTCCTTTGTACTTAATATGCAATACTCTAAAATGATTAAAATTTAATCATTTCTTCAAAGAAAAATCTAGGCTTCTTTTATTGAACTTAATCCCACAGTTCTATCCACACAGCAAATTTTTACCTTCAGTTAATCTCTTAAAGTAAATCTCAGAAAACATGGATTATAGCCTATGGTTGTAAGGGCAGCTCAGTGGCAAAGTGTCTAGCATGTGTTAGGCTTTTTCTATCCCAGCACCGTAAGTAAATTAATGCATTTGTAAATAAAGTGGCAAAATCAGCTTCATTATCAATGAGAGCTTTGCAAAAGGTTGCTGGTTAGAAAACTGATGGTGGTGCACGCCTCTAATCCCAGCACTTGGGAAGCAGAAGCAGGTGGATCTCTGAGAGTTCAAAGCCAGCCTGGTCTACACAGCAAGTTCCAGGACAGCTGTTACAGGGAGACCCTGTCTCAAAAAGACTAAAAAAAAAAGAAAGAAAACTGATGGTTTCTTCCATAGTTTCCATCAACGACAGAGGCTATATAAAACCACACATAAATTTACACTTTACATTTGCATTTTACAATGTACCTCACACATCTAACAAATGGATATGTATGCTAACCGGCCTACAAATCATCATAAAACAAATATTTACCGAGCACCTACCAAGTACTGGGTAACATTCTACTTGCTCCTTTGTTATGTTTTACCCTTTAAACAACTGAGGTCTTGGAGGAGCTGACACAAGGAAAACAGCCATGGAAGAATTTTAAAATAACATAAAGTGATCAATTATCAAGCATTAGTGTTACTTTAACTTTCTCTTTCACAAACTTCACAAAGAAGTCTCTGCGGGGTAGGGGAGAGGGAGATACTGCATTACTAGGCAGCCCAGGCTGGCCTTCTAGAACTCTGATTACTCCTGCCTCAGCCTTCCAAGTGCCAGGATTACAGGCATGCACCACACACTCAGCTCAAAGGATAGTCTTAGTGAATTTATTTGGGAAACATCCAGTTCTGTCTTGGAGATAAAAGAACTGATGGTATCTTTCAAGCTACACAATTCTTTAAAAACAGCCCATCAAAAATGGATCTTTAGCTGGGCACTACGGTGAATGCCTGTAAAAGCAACACTTGGAGTCCAACAAGGGGGGGATACCCAGGCCTCACTGGGGAAGGGTCCTGGAGAGGTGCAGCTCTGTGGTTGAGTGTTTACTTGGGTTAGCATGTGTGAGACTGTGGGTTCATCCCCAGCACTGCCCAATCAATCTCAGGCTGAGGATGTAGCTTGGGAAAAGTACTTGCTTTAACATACGCAAGGCTCTTGGTTTGATCTTCAGTCTCTGCACGCCCTAAAAAAGATCTGAGACACTGCTGAGAAAAATGATTTCAAACCTTTTCAAGCCCTAAGGGCAACTGAAAAGAGCCACAGTAAACAGAGGCATGACTTTAAAAACAGCTTGATTGCCCAGATTTGAGTGTGCCTATCACAGTGTGATCTTGAACAATTAATTTCTGTGTTTTAGTCTCATCATCTGTAAAATACAGGTAGTTAACAGTATCTACCTCCATAGCACTGTTACACAGATTAATAAGCTCATATTTGAAAGATTTAAATAGTACCTGGCCACTAGTAAAAAATAGTTTTTGTTTTGTTTTAAAAGCTGAACTAAAGCTGAAAAATGTACAGGCCACTACAATAAAAATCCTTTGGGCCTTTGAGGAACCTTGAAACTACTTCATATAGGTATGCTCTCTCCTTCCTACCCCCCACTTTTGGGACAGTTCTCATTATGCAGCCCTGGCAGGCCTAGGCCTTACTATGCCTAGAACTCACAGAGATCAGCCTGCCTCTGCCTCTAATCTCAACTGTCCTCCTATGTATTCTTCATTTTCTATTTTGAATAGCTTCCTTGTAACTATAAACCATTCAGACACTATATTTGGGCCCTCACTATGGTTAGCTCGCACAGTACTTGCTTTCATATCAAACTTATTATTTTCAAATTAGTGAAAATAGGACATACACACACAAAACAATCCCATTTAAACCACAAGTGGGGGGGGCGGTTTGCAGTAGACTCGACAAACTCACATTTGTAACTACGGTATTATTCAAATATGCAAATGAAATACAACCGAATCATCTTTGAAAAGAATGTGAACTCTCCCCCAGAATTAAATAAAGGGATATAATTCTAAGAACTTTACAGATTACTTGGGCACTCAGCTGTATAGTTTACAACTTACACTGTACCGGCATCCTGTAGTTAATTGCCACACTGCTAACCCGAGAAACAGTAATGTCTTCTAGTTAAAACCCCATCTGTTCTCTGCTAAGCCAAACTGTTTTAACAACGCAACTTTCAAACTCTTAAAAACAAACAAAAAAACAAAAAAAGCCACGTTGATTCTCCGCCCAGGTGAGCAAAGCTAATTGAGGAAACCTAAACTAGACACTCAAGCAGAGTGGCCAGGCTGTCGCTGGAGCATTATCAAACTCTTAAGTCGTCTGCAAACACAGAAGCTAACTCAGATGCAAAAGAAAGGCGCTGCAGCAACACTTTGTCTTCAATGTCACTGTCTTTTAGGTTAAGTTTTCCTACCATAGAGAAACTGCGCTTATTTAAGCAACAGCCTTTGCATATCAAGGATGTGTTCCCTCGATCTCACGTATTTTTCTATTAATTAACGATAGAGAGGTTGGTTTAGAAGTAACTTAGCAATTCCCAGTACTTCTTCCACTCATCTCCAAAGGGGCTCTAATCTAGAGCACAAATTACCAGGCCTCCAAAACCAAGGACTCTGACTTTGCCTTAAGTTCGCAAGTTGGAAATAAACTGTTCGTAGGCAGAGAAATCCCTGGTGCTTGCTGGGACTGAAGAGAAGAAGGTGAAGGAAGGGCTTCGTTAACATAAACTAGTTCCGGACACTCAGAAAAGTATGACCCTAGTACCTCCGCCTCTGCTTTTAACATCAGCAGGACCTGAGGTACTGCTTGCATTCGGAAAGTGGAACTCGGTCCGCCTGCTGCCGCGACAGCGAGCTCCAGTCTGTCCTCGGGAAGGAGCAGGAAGGCGCGACCTCAGGGCAGCGGCAACCACGCGCACCGGACCTGTAGAGGCCGCTCGTGCCGCCGCCTCCCGGGGCAACGACGCGCAGCAGGCCGCGCAGCCGGAGCCCCAACAGCCGCGGCCTCCCGGGGAGAAAGCCGGGGCCGCGGCCGCTCCCACGCCTCCCACCGCACCACCGAGCGCGCGCGGAAAGCAAAGTTTGCCTGTCGCCGTTAGGCCGGAACTTTCCCGCCCGCCGCGCAGGTCCCCGCCGATCCCCGGTCTGTGGCCCGCGGGCTCGGCTCTTGCCACCCGCACGCGCCACTTACTCGGGCTGTTCCCGCAGCGACGGGGGCTCCACGGCGGCCATCTTGAACTTCCTGACTCCTCCGCGGCGCTGACGGCGGCTCCCCGGACCGTAGAAGCCAGTGGAAGTGGAGCAATAAGGGAAAAGCAGACGCGCATGTGCAAGGACGCAGAGAAAAGCGGCGCTGGGAGTCCGCGCTAAGATTCCGGATAGAAAATCCTTACATCCGGGGGCGAGACGCAGAGCGATGTGACGTTATTTCCGGGTTCAGGGCAAAGTCTGCAGGGGTTAAGGCCTGACTTGTCTGGCTTGCGCGGTTTTCGATGCCGAGGTGGACTCTTCCAAGAGATGGGAGCGAAGGGCTGGGAAGCTGTTGAGTGCGCTGATCGGAGAGCAGCCTCGCGGTGGTGCCCAGAAGCGGGAAGAATTCCCTTATCTTCCTGTTAGCTGATGAGCACAAAGCTCAGACCGGTCCAACTTCCTCAGCCAGAATACCTCCCATGTCCCTTTCTGACCTTGTTGGTGTGCTTATATGGAAATTAAGCTTCCTGCTTGTGTAGGGAAGACCAAGTGAGAGACAATAATAGAAAAGTTGTCCATGTTTGATAACCGAACTGACTGAGGCCAATTTAAGATTTGCACAAACTTCTGTAAAAGGGCAGAGGCCGGGTGTGGAGGCCCCAGCACAGGCGAGGCAGAGGCAGGCGAATTTCGGTGAGATCGAGGCCAGCCTGGTCTACATTGCAAGTTACAGGTGGGCCAGGTCAACGTAGACCTATCTTAAAAAGGATTTTTTTCACCAGGTTCATTTCCAGGGTTTTACTAGTTTGGAGTAAAATAGGGACGTTTTGAGGACACCCAGAACAGTTAGTAGTGATGATAGCAAACAGCTTGATCACACAGCAAACATTTACGAAGCGACACTTTGGCCCTAGTACTTTCTCCCGCTGGGTCTCAGAAACCTTGGAACCGGAACGCCAAGGGGGCAGGCGCGGTTTAGGCGGAAGGAGCGGAAGGGAACGTTCCACGGCGTAACCAGCTTCCCGGAAGCCTTTGGCGCGCTAGAAAGACGCGTGCGTGCTGGCGTCTGGGGAAAGGCGTGGGCGGGTTCAAAGCGCACCGTGGCCGTGGGTGTCTCAGCCCTGCAGCATCCAACTGGGCTAGGTGCTGCTTGTTCCTGGGCGCGGCTGTCCAGCGCGGCTCCACCTCCCGTGGTCTGCCCAGAGCTCACGGTCCTCCGCACCCCAACCCACAGCGGCGCTGACGCTGTGGCCGCCATTCCTGCGAGGTCATCCCGGAAGCCGCCTGCGGGCGGGCACTGCGTCTACGTTGTCTTTTTGCGGAGCAAATTGGTCTCCAGCAAGCAGGCGTGAGTCCTGTATGGTGACCGGCGTAGACCTCTGTACTGGGTACACCTCAGCCGTAAACAATACAAAAAGTTTACAGGCCCTGCGGAGAGGAGGCTTGGGGTACAAGCGTATGTTTATGAACTTCACCTTTTCCTACCCGCTTATTTAAAACAAGATTCACACTCCAGAGATTAATTTGAAAATGTCTTTGAATTATGTTTATTCCTAGAGAAAGGTATGAAATTTGTACCTACTAAACTGCATTGTCATCAGTACCCTTAAATCAAGCTCATTGTGACAAAAATAAGGAGCATCGAAAATCCGTGGATTCCAGCAGTTTTCAGATGTCTTTGAAGCATTTAGAAGGCCCTTTGAACAGCACTTTAGAACCTAGAGGTGGATTTGGAGCTGTTTGAGAGGACACCGAGGTGGTGCTGGCAGGCTTGAGCCACCTTGCCTGGCTTAATTTAGTTTTTTGTTGTTGTTGCCTTGAAGCAATTCTGATGCAGTTTTGAAAACCGGGCAAAAAGAAAACTCACCCTCCATTACCCATATGTAACCAATCTTGACATGCTGGTTTATTTTGGTTTATTTACATATGTAAACCACTATTGACATACTGGTTATTTCCCTTTGAAGTACTAAATTTTTTTGGGGGGGGGGTCTTTTTGAGACGTGGTCTCACTGTAGCACCAGCTGGCCTGGAACTCACTATGTAGACCAGGATGGCCTTGACCTCACAGAGATCTGCTTGTCTCTGCCTCCTAAATGCTGAGAGTAAAGGCCCAGCTTAAAATTTCTTGTTCTTATGTACAATGTGATAGTTTGCTTTATCAGGTAACATTTCCCAATTTTACCTAATTCTAGCTTGACAAACGTAGCTACACTGCCTTTCTCTTTGTTACTAGGTGCCTAGAAGATATCAGCTTTGCACTAATGTGTGTAACTATGAAAAGGCAACAGCTAGCATAGTATTTAAGACAGCCTTTAAAAGGGTGGTGAGGGCTGGAGAGTTGGCTCAGCTGTTAAGAGCACTGGCTGCTCTTGCAGAGGACCCAGGTTTGATTTCTAGCTCCCACATGGCAGCTAACAACCGCCTGTGACTTTAATTCCAGTGACTCCTACCCCGTCTTTTGACCTCTGCGTGCATTGCAGGACCCCATTGTACTTACATACATGCAGGCAATACACTCATAAGATAAAATAAAAATAATAAAAATATTTAAAAAAATAAAGGGATGGTGAGATGGTTCAGTGGGTAAAGGTTCCTGCATAGCAGTAAATTGCACACAAAATAATCATTCCTATTTGTTTTTTAAAAAAGTACAAAATCAGACCTGCGCTTCATCATTTACTGTGCAACTAAAAACAACTCATTTTTATTTTTCTGATCTTACAGATTAATAACATGGGGATAATAGTTCTCGTTTCATAAACCCGAGAATTAAATGAAATGAGTGAAAATGTTATACTAGTAAATGGCAGCTATTGATATAGGCACTATTTCTTTTGTTGTGATTTTTTTTGTGTGTGACATAATTTATTCCCATATTCTGTGTGTAGATACTGTCACCACACTAGATACAAGTTTATGTTTAATTATAACAAATGTATGAATTAGAATTTTTTTGCACTAAGAAAAAATAAAAATCGCCCATAATCCTTTTACTCATAATAATCATTTATGAGTGGGAATATCTTTTCTCAGTTTATGCAACTATGGATTATGTTTTGCAAAATGCAATATTTTATAAATTTGTTTGTGAAGATGGCAAAGATTGAATTATGATGGGAGTAGGTGATTAAAAGATCAGGAACTAGTTGGATGAGGTGGTGCAGATCTTTAATCCCAGCACTCAGGAGGGAGAGACAGAATCTGACTTCAGAGGCCAGCCTGGGCTACATATTGAGTTACAGGCCATCCAAGGCTACTTAGTGAGACCTTGTCTCATAATAAATAAATAACATTTTTGCTGATTGTGGTGGCACTCACCTTTAATCCCAGAACTCGGGAGGCAGAGGAAGGTGACCTCTGTGAATTCAAGGCCACCCTGGTCTACATAGTGACTTCCAGGCCAGCTGGGGCTATAGGGAGACCTTGTCTCATCTAGACCAAAATAATAAATAATAGTATTTTTTAAAGGAGTAGAAGATAAGGTAGAAAAGGAGATGTGTTGGGTTTGGATTTCATTACAAATTACTGGATGGAGTAGTAACATGAGAGTCATTTGTTTTCTTTTAAAGGAGTAACTTGGCTGTTTATGGAAATAGACTATAAGGGGTCTGGGTCACCACAGTTTTCCTACTTTGATTTCTGTTGCTGAGATTAAAAATGACCCAAATGAACTTGGGGAGGAAAAGGCTTATTTCATTTTACAACTCCCAGGTCATGATCCATCATTGGAGGAAGTCAGGGCAGTAACTGAAGCAGAAACCACAGGGAAATACTGTTGACCGGCTTGTTCCTCTTGGTTTGTTGAGCTAGCTTTATTAAATCACCCAGGCCCACCTGATTAAGGATGACATCTCTCAGGCCCACAGTGGACTGGGCCCTCCTCCATCAGTTAATGATGAAGAAAATACTTCACAGACATGCCCACAGGCCATTCTGATGGAACAATTCCTCAATTGATGTTCCTTCTTCCTAGGTGACTCTAGTTTGTGTCAAATTGACAATAATTAACTAGCACACCAGTGAAGATGGAATCCAGTTAGGAGGCTATTCCAGTTAGGTGGCTTAGACTGGTGTAAGAAGAGGAAAGCTAAATTTTGAATGGAGAGGTTATAGGAGTCATTAATTGATTGGAGAAAGCCATTTAGAAGTTTTTGCATTGAGGACTGGGATTGTAGTTCCATGGTAAAGCACTTATCAAAGCCCTGGGTTCAGTTCTCAGTACTGCGTTAAAAAATGTTTTTAGCTTATGCAATTGGGCAGTTGCAGTTGTCATTTAATAGCAATGGATGAAAGAAGGGGCAGCTTTTAAGGTGTGTGTGTGTGTGTGTGTGTGTGTGTGTGTGTGTGTGTGTAGCTGAAGAGTTTTGCTTTTTTTTTGTTTTTTTTGTTTTTTTGAGACAGGGTCTCACTATGTAGTATTGACTGACCTAGACCTCATTATATAGGGGCCAGGCTTCTGACTCCTGAGTGCTGAGATTAAAAGTGTGCATCACCTTGCCCAACTTGAATAGTATTTAGAACATGGCATTTAGACAGACTCTCACCTTGTTACTTACTGTGCAACTTTGGACAACTTTCTTGATTTTTTTTTTTTAGCCTGATTTTCCAGATCAGCAACATGGGGATATTAGTTCTTATTGAATAAAATTATTATAATAATTAAATGAAATAAGTAAAAAATGAATTACACTTGCCAAATTGCTCAAGCTAAATGTTTAATTAAAAGTTGGGTCTTGCTGGGCATGATGGCTCCTGCCTTTAATCCCAGCACTCAGGTGGCTGAGGCAGGTGGATCTCTGTGAGATGAAGGCCAGCCTGGTCTACATAGTGAGTTCCAGGCCAGCTGGGGCTACAGGGAGACCCTCCCTCAAAAGACACCCCCCACCCCCCCACCCCCCGCAAAAAAATAAAATGCTGGGTCTTTGAGTCAGGTGTGGTAGTCCACACCTGTGGTCCCAATAGTGGTCTGTGGAGGCAGGAAGTTCAAGAGTTCAAGGTCATCCTCTTCCACATAGTGAACTTGAGTTCAGCCTAAACATGATCCTGTCTCAAACAAACAAACAAAAAAAGAAATTGGGTCATAAAGACTTCGGCTTTTGAGATGTCTTTTTCCTTTTCTCTTTATTATTATTATTATTATTTTGCTGTATTGGCAGTATTTGATTCTCTTGTTAAGTGCATATATAT